TGGCTATGCTGAGCTTCCCCATATAAATTTCAACTCTCCTCAAATCGTTGATGAGAGTAGCGTTAGGAGTACATCCATCGTATGCTTTTTCGATGTAAAGAAAAACATTACCACGTATTCTATCATATCTATATGATCTATTTAGAGTCAATAAACGAATTGAAGAGTTTGATGTATACCGACTTAACATAGCATTGTTGGACATCTAGATTTCTTAAAACACCTAAGAGAAATTGTCCAAACCCCATATTGAGTCCCACAGTAAAACACAAATTTTACTACAATTATTATATTGTGATTAATTTTCTCCGTCACATCACTAATAAGGGTTAATACTACGAAAAACCCCAAACCGATACACTTATGACAATTTTACTCCGAACTAACTTTTTGACTATCAAAAACCCTAAATTGGTACACCTATGACAAATTTACCCCAAGCTATTTTTATTTTTACCATAAAAAACCCCAAACTGGAACACTTGTGACAATTTTATCCCAAACTAATTTTTTTGACCACTAAAAACCACAAACTGGTACGTTTGTGATAAATTTATCCTCCGTTAGTGTCTGTTAAATTGGATTAATATCACGAAAAATCACAAATTGGTAAACTTGTGAAACCTCAAACCGGTACACCCGTCAACTACCACGTGTCATCAAACTTAGCAATTTGACATTAAAATTTAACGGAAATAACGGATGGTATATTTATCACAGATGTATCAGTTTGGGATTTTCGGTGGTCAAAAAATTAATTCGAGGTAAAAGTGTCACAGGTGTACCAATGTGGGGTTTTTGATAATCAACAAAATAATTTAGGGAAAAATTGTTACAGGTGTACCAGTTTAGGATTTTTTGTGGCAAAAAAAATAATTTGGGATAAATTTATCATAGGTGTATCATTTATAAATTTTTCGTGATATTAACCCCACTAATAAATTAAGTTTATATGAAATTTTCAAGATAAATAACGGTCTCTCGCCTCACAATGCAACTAAGCAAGCAAGATGGTGGAAGACTTTTGACTTACTTTCAATCGCCAGAGTCTTTCTTGTTTGCTCCCTTTTCTTTTGAGTAGGATTTGTCAGCTTTAGCCTTGTCACTTTCTTTGCAACTAAAAGCAGGTGAGATGGTGGAAGACTTTTGACTTGCTTTCCCCCGCGAAAGTCTCTTTCTTTCTTTCTTTCTATTGAGTACGTTTTGTAGGTTTTTGCCTTTATCCCCTTCTTTAATTGGAAGAAAAGAACAGGAAAATGCAACGAAGCAAGCAAGATAGTAGAAGACTTTGACTTGGGACTTGTGTACTTTCCGGCCTCCTCTCATTATATTCTTTTGAAATTTTGATTTAAAATTTAAGATAAGAGAGTGGCAATTTTAAAATTTGGAAAAAATATATTAAGCTGCTCATAGTTAGATCATAATTAATAAAATAGTTTGTACTGAGAATTTTGCAAATCAAAAACATATTGTTCATAGCACTCTACATTCACTCTGTTACTAAATCTGATTATCTAAGCTGTTTCACAGCTTGATTTCTAAACTCAAGTTGGTTTTATTTTGAATGGGACACTAGATATATTTGAGTTGAATTTGTGTAATCTTGGTTGATACATGCCTCGATTTGTCGAATCTCCATATATTCGGAACATTGTCGGCGTCTTTTATATGATTATGTTTAAATTTGTGATATCATATATATTTCCATATTTATTTGGGATTTAGATCCACATAAAAGATCATCATATTTGTTTGGGATCTAGCTCTATATACTATAAAGTATTATTTGAAAAGGTAGGGCATAGAGAAGCATTCAAAGTTTGTCACGTTATTTTATAACTAAGTAATAATGTGAATGATTGTTTTCAGTCTCTTATACTATTTAACTGATTTTATTGGTAACACCGGCACTTCATAAAGTGATGTTAATATTATGACACATATATGATAATTTTAATTTTAAATTTGTTATTAAATGAATGGGACCCGGAAACTTCTAGGATGACAACCCATTGATCGATCCACGGAAACTTTTAGGAAACTTCTCGGAAACTTCTCGGATGACTCTTGGAAAGTTTTCCCCTACGCCATGACACCAGAGACGAAGAGAGCTTATCATATTGACAGCCCTCGCTCATATCCAAGCACACCCAAAGCAAACTTCCCTGAGAGATAGAAAGGATTTGATATCTTTGGTGTTTAGAGATCCTACAATGGAGAAAGGGACGAATTCACAGACATCATCCGGAACTTCATATGAGGTTTTTCTGAGTTTTCGAGGAGCAGATACTCGTTATGGATTCACCGATCATCTTTACCGTGGCATGGTTGATGCCGGGATCATCGTCTTTAGGGACAGTGAATCCCTCCACGTCGGTAAGGAAATTGGTGGTGAACTTTTACAAGCAATTGAGAACTCCAAGATCTACATTCCCATATTCTCCGAGAATTATGCTTCGAGTGACTGGTGCCTCCGAGAGCTCGCATGCATGGTCGAGTGCACCTCGAAATCAAATGGGAACAAAGAGATTCTGCCAATTTTCTTGGATGTGGAACCTGCCGATGTCAAGCTGAAAACAAACCTGTACAGACAAACTCTTTCAAAGCGCCAGAAGACGTCGTGCACTGAAGCAGAGTCATGGGAAAAGGCTCTCATTGAGGTGGGCAAGATAAAGGGATGGAACTGGCAAAAAGATCAAGGGTAAATGTCTTAAAACTTTTCAACTGTCATGTGTAGATTTCGTTTTCCTCCCTATTCAGTATTATTGTGGTATTGTTGGTGAAATTATAGTCTATTCATCTAGTCGATTCTATTTAGTTCAAATAGCGGTCGCTGCCGCTACCGCTACTGCTACCGGCCGCTATGGCGGCAAGAACGGAATTCTCACCAGCAGTGGCCAATAGTGGTCGCTATCGGCGGTATTGCTGCAATAGCTCTGGTCAATGGCACTATTGCGGTGGTAGTGCACGCTACTCATCCTGATTCTCTCTCTCTTCTTACTCTCGGTCTTTGACATAGTAGCCACGATCAGTAAACAGTTCTCCGAGCAGCTCCACCAAGCTGCCGACCAGCCACCACAGCAGCTTGTCTGTCAGTCACCACCACTTCCTTGTTGCCGCCTAACACCAAGCTACAAGAAGCCTCCTCCGAGCCATCCGGTCCTCACCCTTTCGCTGTCTCACTCACCGAGGCGAGTCGGATCCGGGATTTGGATGTCGGGTCTGATACCACTGAGCTCGGCCTTGGGCGAATGTCGCCCAAGGCCGATGACACCATCCCCAGCAATTGCAAGGCCACAACCCACGTGATGTGGAGGATTGAGGCAAGGCCGAGATGGGCAATGGCACAAGAACATGACGGTGATGGCCCAGGGAGGTGAGCGACGTCAACGGTGTGGTGACTGAAATTTGGGGGAGCGGAGATACATTGGGAAAAATCTGGATTCTTTTGGTGTCTAGATTATTTTGCCAAATTTCTGCAAATTGTAAGGGCAATTGAGTCACTTATGAGTAGTTTTACAACATAAAATTTATCCCTAACATGGTTGTTATGTTGTGGCAGCTAAGCAGATTTGATACAATTTGTAAAGGAGATTGTGTTGACTAAGCTGAACATCGGATTTAAAAAAAATGTGACAGAACATTTGGTTGGAGTTGATGATCATGTAGAAGCTATAATCAAAATGTTGGATGTGGAATCCGATAGAGTACAATTCCTCGGAATCCACGGAATGGGCGGGATTGGCAAAACAACACTTGCCAAGGTCATCTTCAACCAACTGTCTTCTCACTTCCGAGGCTGCAATTTCCTTTCCGACATCGGAGAGTCATCACGACGTCATGGTTTGGTACATTTGCAAAAACAGTTACTATCCAAGTTCCTCGATTCTCGTTCTATCCTCGACCAAATTCACGACGTGGATGATGGGATCGACATGATTAAGAGAGTACTTTGCAATAAAAAAGTTCTCATTGTTCTTGACGACGTGGATGAGAAAGAGCAACTCAAAAGATTAGCAGAAAAGGGCAATTGGTTCGGTTCCGGTAGTAGGATTATCATAACTACTAGGGACCAAAGTGTCCTAATGATTGAGGGAGAAGCAACAGGTGGAGGCCCTGTAAAAAAGTTTGCAAATGTTTGGACTTACGAAGCACATGCAATGGAATTTGATCATGCTCTTAAGCTTTTCAGTAGGCATGCTTTTAGAAGAGACTCTCCACCAGATCATTATATCTCCCTTTCAAAAGCAGTTGTCTCTACTTTGGGAAAGCTTCCCTTGGCTCTTGAGATTACGGGTTCATCCCTTAACGGTAAATCCGAAGATATATGGTTAGACACATTGAAGAAGCTAGAAGAAGCTCCTCCCATGGGAGTCCAAAAAAAATTGCTAATATCTTATGAAAGATTAGATCATGCACAAAAGCAAGTGTTTCTAGATATAGCTTGTTTTTTTGTTGGTCAGGACAAAACATACCCTCTGTACATGTGGGATGAATGTGGATATCACCCACACGATTCCATTGAAGTCCTTTCTCTCATGTCCTTGATAAAAATCAAAGACAACAATACTTTCTGGATGCATGATCAAGTGCGGGACCTCGGAAGGGAGATTGTCCGTCAAGAGAATTTCAACGATCCCCGTGAGCATAGCAGAGTGTGGAATCATATGGAAGCCCTGAGCATTCTGCAGTTGAAAGAGGTATAATAAAGGGAATAGCAATTTATTTTCCTATGAATTGTTGCATACTATTCTTGCAAAAGGAAAAATTAATCGCTACTAGCGCTTAAAATTGTTTGCTGTTGACCTTCACATGTGGACTTCTTGGTGTTTCAATTGTCAGGGAAGTCGGAAAATAGAAGCACTGTCTGTAGGATATCATGGAAATGAAGACGTTATTCTAAAGCATGATGAATTTGCTAATTTGCGGAACCTCAGGTTCTTTCGGGGGGATAGGGTGTTATTTGTTGGAGACTTCATTAATCTTCTCTTCAATTTAAGATGGATTTCTTGGCAAAGTTGCCCTCCCAAGTTTGAGGCAACAAACTTTCATCTGACTAATTTAGTCGTTCTTGACCTTTCACGGAGCCATATTTCTGAGGAATGGATTGGCTGGAACCAAATCAAAGTATGATTTGAGTCCTACTCCTTGCATACGCATATCGTTTCTTTTGCCATTTTTTTTTCTTACAAGTCGTTTCTCATTATATATTGATCCAATTGTTTTGCAGGAGGCCAGAAAACTAAAAGTACTAGATCTCAGCTGCTGCAAATCCTTAAAGAGAACACCTGATTTATCTACGTGGGTATCCTTGGAGAGATTGGTTTTTGAAGGCTGTTCCAACTTAATTGAAATTAACTCGTCCATTGGTAAATTAAAGCTCCTAACTTCTTTGAACTTGAGGGGATGTAAGTCTCTTCGAGAGTTGCCTAAAGAAATAGGAAGTCTACAAGCTTTGATAGAGATTGTCATGCCTACTGCGCTACATGAGCTTCCGGAGACGTTTGGTAATTTGCAGTCACTGTTGACCCTCAATGTATCATTTGGGGAGATCAACAAATTGCCATACTCGATTGGAGGGCTGGTGAAACTTACGCGGTTGTATTTATCCTGTATATACATAAAGGAACTTCCAGATTCGGTTGGGAAATTACAATCATTAGTTGAGTTGGATTTGTCATGGACGAGAATTCGTCACCTACCCGATTCAATCGGCAATCTAAAGCAACTGAAGGTACTAAGGATGAGAAGCATAGAAGGGATAACAAAATTGCCGAGTGCGATTGGGCTGGTGGAGAAGCTCGAAGAGTTGGATGCAAGTGGTTGTCACAATTTGACCGGTGAAATCCCTGAAGAAATTGGGAGACTGTCCCGTTTGAGGATCCTAGACTTGTCAAGCACATCTATTTCCGGATTACCCACCACGGTGAGTCACCTCTCTAATCTCCAAATACTTAAGCTAGGAAAATGTCCCGAGCTGAAACAATTGCCGGAGCTTCCCCCAAGTTTGACTTGGTTGATATGGAGCCCTTTTAATTGCGACTATTCCCGCTTGATGGCCCTCATCGTTCCCATTAGAATTGGTGCCCTATCTCAACAGGGAACACTCGCCACCACTCTTCCCACTAGCATCGGTACCCTATCTCATCTTAAAACACTATCATTGTCCTGCAAATATGTGCAATTCCTCCCCCGGCTCCCGTCTAGTTTAAGAGAGTTAGAACTTCAGGATCTGGCAACCACACGATCACCGGATTTTTCCAATTTGAAAAACTTGTCAATCTTGGAATTCTATCTATGTTCGCTAAAACTCTCGAGTATATTTGATGCGGAGTCGGAGGAACTCCATGTGGAGCGCTGTAAGCTTAGAAGACTGGACTCCCCATCACAGCCGGAAATGAAAAGATTGAGATTATTAAAGATGGAGGATTGTGAGTTCCTTCCAGAAGTACTTGATCTGTCGCACATGAAGAACCTACGCGAGGTAAGTCTGACACGTTGCCGTTCATTAGTCGAGATACGTGGCCTTGAAGAATTGGGATCCCTTCGCTCCCTATCAGTCGAAAATTGCCCTTCCTTGGAGAGGATGTCAGACCTATCGAAATCGAAAAAGCTACGAAAGCTCAAGGTAATAAAATGTCGTAATCTAAAAAGAGTGCAAGGTCTAAACCACTTGGGGCCTTTAAAGGAGCGGAGAATCTTTGGTAATGGAGAGTTTAGGGGGTGGTACCTCAAGCGCTGCCGCTGCGTCCGCCGTCATACACAGAATTCCCATTGGCGGCTCCGATTCCTAGATCCGCTGCATTCTTCGGCGGGTCGCCGCGGCCTCCACCCCTGCCTCCGCCTACGCCTCCGCCATCATCGCCTCTAGGAGCCCCATCGGTGCTGGTTGGAATATGGCAACACCAAGTTTCGCACCAGAACTTGCAACTGGTAATTCTAAAATTGCACACCAAATGCTTGCGCAATTGCCTCTTTCCCTGTTCGAATCTGGATATGAAGTTTTGTTACAGTGGTTTGATGGGTGAAGTTCCTGGTGTTGAGCTAAATGGGAAAACTGTGCGAATGGATGTCTTAGTTTTGATTTGATTTGATTTAGTGTGCAGACGGTAGTAAAAACCCGACATTTCAAGAGAAGTCTGTGTTCACGCTCGTTGAAGGGCATAGGGAGTTGAATCTTGCGGTGTGGAACAGTAATATCCTCACTTTCGACGACTTCAGTAGCAGTGGAAAGTAATTACTTCCTACCTTGAATCCATTTTACTTACGAAACTGTTGTTGAGTCGTTTTGGACTTTGGTCCTTGAGTGGCTAGTACTCTTATCTTAGTTGTGTTTTCCATGGTCTGAAGGGTTCGGCTCCACAAGTTTCATGCTCATAGCTTCGATAATACGGCCTGGCCTCTTCAGACAAAAAAACGGGTAGGTACGATCCGTTGAATCTATTCCTCTTTTCTTATGCACGTAGAATTGTGTATCAGGTTCAAAAGCAAAATACAAAAAAAAATGTCAGAAGATAAAGTACATAAGATGACCTTTGTGTAAGAACAGTGGTGTGATTTTTCTATTTTTTTTTGGTCGATGTGTGACTTCTCTAATTCACTCATTTGCAATAATAATGCTAGGTTCTAACTTTGCTTTCGAAATTACATGCTGACTGCCAAATTATTGTTGTCGTCATCATCATCATCATCATTAGAAGTCTTTTTTTTTTTTTGGTCATGCATCATTAGTAGGTTTGATTGCTTTAACAATTTGCTGGAAACTTCGGTGCTTCATAGTAGTGGCTGCATTTTCCATATCCATTATAGTTAGTCATTTGTATGTTAGGGCATGGCATGTCATATTTGCCAACTTTTATTGTTTTATTGTCTATGGATATCATATATTTTGTTTTCTGGTGAAATATGAGTTATTTGAGAATATTGGGAGTATTTATTCCTTCAAGAAGTAGAATTCTTGCCCAATTTAGTTGTCCCAGTAGTGACCATTGCTGGCAATACACTAGTCCTTCTAGCTAGATTCTAATATGGTCAATTTTGCAATGGACCAAGTAGAATACTCATCTTGGTGTGAGAACAAGCCCTTGGATTTTTCCTTTATAATGTCAAGAATATAGTTAGTTACTTATATTTATCCGACAACTTTGAGATTAAAACATATTGATATGTCCAACCAATTATGTAAGAATGACATAGACTACTTCCTGCAGCTGAAGTAGTGGAGTCTTTACATATTCCCAAGGATGTGAGACGGGTGTTGTTCAGAAACCTACATATTGCCAGGTAAACTTCTTTTCCTAAGCATCCTTTTGTGGATCATGGTCAGCTGAACTAATGTGGGATTTCCAAATTGTTGGAAATCATGTCGCCCATGCATGTGCTATTGGAGTACTCACTGAGTATTTTAGTATATTGTGGTATTAGTGACTGCTATGATCAGAAGGACAAATTTGATTTATGCTCTGTTTCATTCTCAGATGGCTTATGTACAAAAAAGAGTTCAACATGAACCGTGTGGGATTCATGAAGGATGGAACAAAATGGTTGGTAGAGAACACAAAAATTAAACTCGGTAGGATTCGTACCTCTTTACTATTCTGACACAATTTTAGAAATTGAGAAAGCTCTTTCTTTTTTTCTTTCTTTTTTGTGTGTGTTTGGTGGTTTGCTTCATTGTCATCTTATCTTCACCTTTTACCAAGACTCACTTATTTATAGTACACTTCATGATGTTTCCTAATCGTTACCCAGGATCCATGTTAGGATACATTTCTCTGTGAAGTAGCTATCTTTTCTATTACCCCAATTTTACCTACAGCTTCCCTACAAACAAATGTTATTTTTCTTAGGCATGGCAAGAAATGCATGCTTTCATTTTATTTGATTTCCCCGTAACGACACAGAGTCAAAGTATGGTGCTATAATAACTGTCAACATGAGCACGTTATATTTGGTTGATCTCTAAAGACACACATGCGTAAGAAAATGCTCAAGCGTATGTTGCTATCAGGCATTTGAGCACTACACAGGTTCATTTTTTCTAAACCTACCTCTAGAGAAATAGTGCAACTTGATCATCTAATTTCTTTTCTTGTTCTGCAACTTGTAGATTATTGCATGTCTGATATTGAGATATATTCTTGCATGACGCAGTCTATGCTATTCAATGCATGAATTGATTACCTGTCTTTTTCTGCATATGATGATTTGATTCCATCCCATCTTATCTTCCTCGAAAGTCGGGTAAGAGATTGATTGACGTGTGACAAATTTCCCCATCAAAGTTAAGAATGACCATGTTTCATTGTTGAATTGCCATCTCAGACCTAAACAAAAGTTGTTGATTTTGCCCAGATTTCACATCTTTTCATTCTCATAGAATGTCTAGGCTCAAGAAATGGACACTCCGGTAAAGCTGCAGGAAATTATTCTTGTTGAGGGCTTGAAACTTGAAAATGTACCCGCAAGAGTGTATAGAGTTCATGCTACCTTTGAATTGCTTGGTGCAAAAGGATCACCTATAAGATGCATCCTCATCAAGTAACTTCGCCAAGTGAGTTCTGTTCTTTTTCAAGGGAAATAACTTGACAACGATTGTTGTATCTACGATCGTCATTATCATCATCACACGAGATCGACTTGTCCCTGATTTGGTTACCAGAGGTGTAAATTGAAGATTCATTTGTTGTTTTCGTGACTTTGCATGTGATGATGCAAGGTGCTTATGATATTTCTTCTGTTCCAAGGGAGTAGAAGTTATCAAAAGTGCCGAGTAAGAAAGGCATTGCACGCATGGTCTCCTCAGAATTCAGATTTACTTCAATGGGACATGTTTTGCAGAGAATGCGGAACTTTAGCCATCACTTGCATATGTAATATTATTATAGGCAAAGCAGAGCTATGGTTATTTTTACAAAAACAATGTTACGCTTTCAAAATAAGACTCGTCTGGAATGTTTCTCATGTTTCTTCTTTTCTATTACTAAAGAGCTGCTGGGTATTCGGTTCCTTTGAACATATACTTGACGAGGCCCACCAAAATTGGTTTCCACCACTAGCCCTGGAATTCTTGTTAGTTGCTTCATTGGCAATATTCTCAGGGGTTTCTTGTTGCATGGAAGACAATAATATACAATTTGTATAAGTGACATATACGTATTGTAAAATGTACAGTACATGGAAGAAATGGAATCCTTAAAACGGCAAATACGCAGACACTCTAAAAGGAACACTAAAATGCACTCTGCCCGACAAGAAGTACCCCTCTCGTTCTAGCATAGAGCGCAAACTTCATTCTTCCAATGAAAATTTATACAAGTCTTCCAAAATTGCAGTACCATAAGACGCGACCCCTTTTTTAAGGAAAGGAAAGCATCAGCTTGCTTCCAACAACGGGCAAAAACAGCATCAACAAGTCAGGACTTGCTCAATAAATAGGGTTCTTACATTCACCATCATTTAGCTCCATGTCGGGAGGCACACAACTCTCAACGGCTGTTTGAAGTTCCTCAAACCCAGGACCGTGGTCGGCATTTTAAAGTTGCCAAGGAACCTGGGCTGGAGATTTACAGAGACTTGTGTAGAGAATGTCTTAGGGTTGAATGCCAGATTGGGGGAGTGAAGTGTGCTTCTGCTTCCCTGTCATCCAGTGCAATTACGGTAGTTAATCAGGCCAAAACTCTTAACAGATCCATATAAGCACGCTGGTGCTTTTGTTTATCTAATTGATTTCATGAATAGGGTGATGCAACATCATTAGCACATCCATAAAGTTATACGAGTGTAATTAGGCATAAGCGGCAGTGGCATGGCAACATACTACCGTTGATTTACAACACTATCGCCAAAAGTTAGAAATTAATCACAAAGATCTAAACAATTGTACATCGCTAGGGCAATCAATGGAGCACAAAGTGAGTTAAAGGCAATTACTATTCATCCATCAAGAATAGCATCTGAAGGCATCTCTTCGCTAGAGCAATGTGTGAAATTACACCTTCCAATACATTAAAAGAACGAACTTCCAGGTGCTTGGTACTCAAAGATATCAAAATGACATACCTTCCTCTTAGCAGGTACAGACAGATTCTTAGCTGGCTTAAAGAAGGACTCTAATCTGTAGAAAATAAATGAAAGGAATCATTGGATAAAAGAAAGAGCATTTTGGAAGTCACTTTCATTTGTTCAAGCTTTAGTACCGGCCTTGTGATGACTTATCCTTAGCTGCCTTAATCGTCTCTATTGCCTGATACACATGGTAAAACAACATTGAAAACATGTATGCTCTCTCCTTAATTGAAAAAGAAGCAACTTCCTCGAGTAGGCAACTAACCAATACATTACTGAAGATAGAAGTCATACCTTTGTCACTCTGTCAATGTTGAACCCATTCTCATTCACGAGAAAGGAAATTAATCCCTAGAACAATCAGTTAGGAAACAAGTCAAGAATTCAAAAAGTGAAATGTTGCAAGTAAATCCCAACATGAAAATGGCCCACCTCCTCGTTTAGATCAGTCCATTTTATCTCAAGTAATTCTTCAGTGGAAACTATTGGTTCCTTGAAAAGCGGTCGAACCTCTCTATAGGGCCAGTTATCTGGTACCTGATACCTATTCAAAAAACAAGCATAAATTTCCTTAAGATGGATAGCCAAAATGAATAAAGTCTTTCAAGTAATGCGAGGAACCTCTATGTCTTAAGGATAAAGATATGATACAATTTTGTTCAAGTGAGTGTAAAGGAACAGACAAAGCAAACAACATGATAGATAAAAATTACATAGTAAATCAACACACGAAGTAGCATGGTTGATACACTGTTTGCCAGCCCAAATCTGCTGGTGGCAAATGATCTTTCAGTTTGAAATTGTTGATCAAATATTTCCGCGCCAGCTGAGTTTGAGAGATAATTGTTTTAAGTCAAGGAATCCAGCAGCCAAGACTATTACAGAGAGAAACTTTGCTGCCTTATTTTGCTTACAAGTCGGGGGACAAGATAAGAAAATAAGAAGCATTTTTGCTTGTTTATGTTCTCTAGTATGTTTTCTATGGAACCATGTTGACGGATGAGCTTAAGAGCAGTCAGCCCTCCAATACCTGACAAATTCATTCCAAAGTAAAGCCACTGAAATCATCAAGCTAAAACATATGAGAGTGCAGAATGATATACGATAGAATAAAACAGTTAACAGTAGGCACTGCCATAATATCATGTCTACCTCGAATGCTTTCACAATAATCACATCCAGAGAGAATGCACAGGTCAATGAATTGATCCATATCCAGATTCATCTCCTCCAAGATCTAAAAGTCATGAAAGTGAGAAAAAAAAATTTAAGCAATTGCAATGAATGTACTTTTCTAAGTACCTTGGAAATTTCAAGTTCGATGACTGGAACTTTTCTTGAGCTGGGATCCATCAAATGACGAAGAAATCTAGGAGCTCCAAAAGTAAGGGTATCCATATCTTCAGAAGCAACTGCATAAACCTGAAAAACAAAAAAATACAGCTAAAGCACCATTCTTGATAGATGAATTCTGCTTACCACACAATAATTAAGCAATGATAGGAATTCGAATTCAGCGAAAATTCCTTGGACAAAGATGATTTAGAAAAGAACGTACCAAATGTAAATGACTACGCGGAAGAAGACATTAGACAAGTGAACAAGCATAAGTTTAGTGGATCCCATAAAAACTTCTTTCGAGGAAACAAGTGACTACACAGAAGAAGACATTAGACAAGTGAACAAGCACAAGTTCAGTGAACAAGGAAATTAAATCATGGAAATCAGATGGAAATTTACGTAGAGTTAAACAATTGGTTATCATGGGAAAACAATGAACTATCCTAAATCAGAAGACGATCAAACAGGAAGATACTTGCCTTTCCAGCTTTGCAAAGTGCAGCACATTGTGCCTCTGCTTCTGAAGGAGCCTAACATACAAAAACTGAATTTGATATCTAAACTTTTTGTTAGAAATAAAAAAGAACAAACTTTTTAGACAGAACAGTAACCTCAACTACTGGGACACCCATAAGTCTCAATAGTCTTTTGCAGTCTTCATTGTGCTGTTGTGTCACCTGCAATGGTATCAAAGCCCATGTATCACAAATGCACACATATTCGGTTAGCTACATAGATAGGTTTTTTTTTTCTGGAAAACAGAGACAACATCAAACTTCTCATCGAATAGAACTAAACTATTGCACTGTAAGGAAGTAATCAAAACAAAGACAAACCTTCACAGTTCTTTTACTGAATTTCTCAATGTCTTCCTTGTTCTGAGACTGCAGGCAATAATTACAGAGCTCTATAAGCCTTTTTGTATTCTGTGTTTCTGCGTGCTGATGTGAGTGTGCGTGAGAGAGGCAGAGAGAGAGAGATGCTTATACCGCAACGGCTACTGCCAACTCCTCAGAGGCATCTGCCCTCTTTGAAAAACTGCTCAGAGACTCATTTGACGTAAGCAAACATGTTCATAGATAATTCCAAAAACAAGAAAAGAAAAGGCTACATAATAATAAAGTACCGCTGTGCAAGCTCTTGCTTCTTCAAATCTGGAGGTTTACCATCAAATACGTAGCTATCGTAACAAACAGTAAAGCATAATTTAGATAAGCAGGAGCTTCATTCTTCCAGCGTTTTAATCCCAACGAAAACAGAGGAGGTAATGAAAAAAGTTTACACCGGCTATATCCCCGCATCCAACAGCCTAATCGTCCGTTAAAGCACGCCTTGCAGATGACTACACGAGAAGACAAATCACAAAGCGTCATCACTTTCCAATCACAAAGACCACATCGCAAGTACAAAATAACGCGACACGCGTCGATCTCATACACATGAAACCCGAGTCCGAGCAATAACATCTGAAGCATCAAAACAGAAACTCGAGCAAAGTGGATTTTCATTTCCGTGGAGTATTCCAATGCCAGAAGTAGTACCTGGTGACTTCACCGGCCTCATTGGTGAGCATCTGAGCCCCCTTCCTCCCAACCACAACCTGATCCACCAATCAAAGACCAAAAACAACCACCAACACTCAAAATCCAAATCCCCGCCGACACCGAAACGCACAATCAATCACAAACATCAATTCATGGTGGCATCGACTGCGATCCTCCGGCCCGAGTAGCTCTCCGGCTTCCGCTCCTTCATCGCCTTCGGGGCGTTGTCCGCCAGTAGCTTCGTCAGCCCCTACCGAAATCAACGGGGGCGATTCAATTTCACATATGGAAATGATGGGATTGAAGAAGAAGACGGAGGCTGAACTACCTTGATTCCCATTTTCGGAGAGAGAGGAAATTGCAGTGGAAATCGAGGATGCAATTGAAGCTCAGTCCTTTGGGATGAAATTGAATTCTAGGGTTCGAGTTGGAGACTAGAGCGTGTGGGTGAAGCGAGCGAGTGACTCACGCGCAGGTGTCGCGAGTGGCTTTTGTAAGTACTAGTTGTAAGGTTTTGGACATAAAACTTAAAAATTGTTAATGAGAGTTAATATTTAATCAACTTTAAACAATAATAAGCTGAAAATATTATTATTGCGTAAAACATCTCTAATAAATCATATTAGCGTAACTCTCTAAGTATATATTCAATGGAAAGCTGAGGCCTTGAGGATGCAAATCGTTAGTTACGTAACTGCTATTATGAATCCGCATAAATTGATTGTTCCAAAAAATGTGGGAGAAAAAAAACTTGAAAAGGAATTGGTTTTGCATATCTACGTCGGCGTCATTAGCAATATTTGAGAAATAGATGAATGAGAAAAATGCTAGAACTCAAACGAAATGAACATTTCATCGATTGTCGTAGTATAATAATAATATTTAAAAGAAGGGTTAATATAACGAAAAATTCTAAATTAGTATGCCTATGACAATTTTACCTCGACCGAAGGGAGGAATCTTGGCAATTCAGGGACCGGAATTCATGAAAAATCACCTAAATTTACCCTCTATTAGTTTCCGTTAAATTGGATTAATATCACGAAAAATCACAAACTAATACAACATGTGACAACCGGATGATAAAACACGAAACTAGTGTACTTGTCAACTGCCACGTGTCATCCAACAGAAGGTAAATTTATCATAAGTGTATTAGTTTGGAATTTTTTATGGTAAAAAAAAAATAGTTTTGAATAAATTTGTCATAAATGTACCAGTTTGGATTTTTTGTGGCATTTGCACACCAAATTATAGTCCTTTTCAAATGAATGAATTATGGTAGGTTAAATATTTAAATTTGCTTTTGAAATTCACAAACGAAGAAAAGAGTAAGAAGTAGCTTTTTGATATTGAATAAATATTCAAAAATTGATGCAAAAAGATGAACTCCTAGTACCTACCAATGCCAACTAACTTAATAGAACTAAATTCCCAAGAATGTCACATCATCATTTTACTATTCACCATCCAAGCATTTTAGTACATGTAGATTCATGCAAGTACAAGGAAATTTACTTTCCACATTTTACTTGAAAACAAATAAAATTGGTCTCGAGATTTATCTTTTAATGAAATTGCTTATCCTTGAACTTTTGTGTAAATGTGTCCATGTCATATGTAATCAAACAATTGATTCAATTAAACCCTTAATTTGTCTGATGTACGCTGTGATTCCTTATCTTTTAATTGATTATGTTCCTAAACTATTTTAAAGATGCTCAATATCATCTTCATTTTAATTATTGCAAGGATGGAATCTATGTAATTTCACTTTCTCGTCTTTTGCTCGTTAAGAAGAATGGGTTGTTCTTTAGTTTCTCCAAGCTTTAGCTACTAATTTTGATCTAAAAATCTTGACACCTAAATTTTCATTCAAAGACTTCCCGTTCATTTAAGGAGAAAAGTAGGATCGAATTTGATAAGAGTTTGATCCTAAACAAAAATATCGATCTTGCATAGTCTTGCATTTGCAATTGTTACTCTATTTCTTCGCATTTAGATATTAGGGACATTTATATTTTAGGCATAAAGCATTCGCCTCGAACAAAGCATGGATCCGGCTATGAGTTAATTTGGAATTGGCCCGATTAGATGGCCCCATATGCAAAATGAGTCCTGAACTCACTTGAGGTTCCCAAACTGAGCCCGCGTCGCGCGAGCCCGGCCCTAAGCTAATCAAACTCGGCCTCATGAAGGGAAAGGAAAAAGGGAAATTCCAATTGGCCAACACCCATTTTCGAAGCCAGATCCAATCTGAACACATATAAGATGGAAGGTCTTTTTGCTCAGCTGCACGCGTCGAAATTGGAAGAAAAGGCAAGGGAGAATCAAAAGAAGGGAAGGGGGGTGCAGTTTGGTTGTGCAGTTTCCATCTCGACCGAAGGGCGGAATCTCGGCAATTCAGGGATCGGAATTCACGGCCAAAAAGAAAAGAGAGAAAAAGTAGAACAGAGGAGGTAGATTGTCGTGGAGCAGGTGAAAAGAAAATGACAGGAAAAGACAGAGAGAGAGCGCTGTTGGGGCATGCGTGAGGAAGCGACGGAGATCAAAAGATGCAATTTCACTGTAAGTTCGTTTAGGGCCCGTTTGGCAACTTATCAAATAGTAAAAATTTCTATTTTTTTTATTTTCAGAATCAGTTTGGGAATAGAAATTCATTTGTTAAATTTTTTGTGCCCGAGCACAATTTTGCAAATACTTGTTCTTAGAATCAGTTTTGGAACAGAATCAAGAAGCCAAAAAAAGTAGCTTCTTGATTGTGACACAATTTTTCCATTTCTGATTCTTCTTGATTTTATTCTTTTTTTTGGTTTGTTGTTGTTCTTCGGCCTGCCGTCCGCCACCCGCCGACCGCCGGCCATCGGCGATCGACCACAGGCTACGGCTGGCAAGGGCGTTGCAGCCGCGATGGCGAGGCCTCGTATAGCCAAGGTGAGGCCCGACCTCATTGTCGCCACCTAGGTACGTCGCCTGAGTGGCAACAGCGAGGGCGGCGGTGAGGGCCGCGATGCCTTTGCCAGCCCTGGCTTGTGGCCGGTCGCCGGCGCCAGCGATCAACCATGGCCAAGGAAGGGAAGGGAAAGAAAGAAAAAAAAAAGCGAAAAAAATGGGATTAAAAAAGAAAAAAAAGAAAGAACTATTAAAAAATTTAAAATATTATTAATAAAATGAAATTTTGTGTAGTTACCAAACACATTTCTGTTCTTTTTCTATTCTAAGAATAGAAATTTTGGGCAGTTACCAAACGCCTTCAAATGCTTAGAAATTGTTTCCAAACACAGAATAAAAAAGAATTATTTCTGAGCAGAATCTGTTCCCAGGCACAGAATGGTTGCCATGCGTAACCTTAGTTTACTTTCATAGTATCTACATTCTCTCAAATGTCACTTTTCCTTTGCACTGTAATTTCCAAGAATTTTGCTCCTCGGACTTAAATTTCTCCATCATTTCATTTCAAAGCCAAAAACCAAATCAAGTTTAGCACTGTTTTGAAGTTGAACAACTTTTGTTCGAGTTGGAACCAAATTGAGAAAAACCATTTTATCTTAAAGAAAAGGGTGTGTAAAGGTGATCAGCGATGGGGTCTTTGCAAGTCGCCACCCTCTCTGGAGGAAACTCACTTTCCAACTGGTCTCATGAATACTCGCATATTTGATGGACAAGAATCACTTGGCATATGACTGTCATTTCTAATATTAGCTTCTACTTGTAAATCGCCTTCTGCTTTTTGGCATATCTTTCAAATGTGAGAAATGGACAAGAATTTCCTAGATAATTTCCTAACCGCGTGCCATTGTTTATTTGACTCTTCTTTGTTTTCACATTCATCCATCAAATCCAAGTACCTAACCACACTGCAGAAGATGAAGACCACAGTTTTCTCATTTTCACGCACACAACAACCGAAGATATTTGCAATCAATCTTTCTTGCTACAAACCAAATTAAAATGCCATCTTTGAATTTCCCTATCCTAGTTTTAAAAATTCGAGATGTTTGACGTTAAATCAAGACCTGATTTCAAACTTTAAAAAGTCGAAAAAGAGAAAAAGCCTAAAGTTAAAGTAAAGAGCCGTATATCTGACAAAATTACTAGCCGAAAACCTCCCTTCAAATTTAACACCTAATATCTATTTTATGTCTTTTGGACTACGACCTTTTAACAGTAATGACGGATTAAAAACATTAATTTATGAAAGAATGTTACAACTTGTTAGATATATTTGTAGTGCACATCATTCACAAATTACCAAATCTTTCCAAAATATCGCGTGTATGTTATATATGGTCAGATTATGTCTAGAATCATGATATCATATATCTACTATATATTAGTTTAGGTTCTTTATAAATGATTGCAATTACTTGTATAATGCATTCCACTAATTTACAGAAGGCCTTTAGTTTATTTGTCTCTCGCTAACATAACCCTTCAATCGAAACTCACCACCAACCACTTAGTCTCTGGCACGATCCACTACGAAAGACTTTGAACCCTAGAATCACGTTGTTGAGTTGACGTCAACTGCGACTCAACTCCACCATGGACAAAAACCTCACGTGCGGGGACGAGAAAACTCGTCCCAATCTTTTCCTTCATCAAACAAGTAATTGTTCTCCGAGTTGAACACTGGAAACCACGGACTTCACCTAGTCATGTGTTACTAGTCTTCTTTTGCTTCGTGCCACTATTTGGCCTTGCTCTATGCTCCAGAATATGACGTCAGCATCAAGGAACTACCAAATCATTAGTGCCATTCACACCTCCACATCATCACAACATCATCGCTATTAGAGCTGAAAATTTATGTTCATGTATCATAATTGGGTTTTGTAATCGTGTCAAGCAATTTTTCCAAACGCGGACCTATCAAAAAACTGGTTCAGGTTGGTTTGTGAGTCAACCGGTAGAACCACCCATTGAACCACCAAATCGATAAAGAAGGAAAATCTACAACGAAATTCATGATATATATTAAATATGCCAATTAGCACCAAAAAGATCGCTCATGTGTTTAGATGCATGGTGAGTGTAAATGATATGTAGGGAAGTTTCGTGAATGAAGTTGGTTATCTCTTGTTTAATTAACACTTAAAAAGAAACTAAGGGCAATCTTGCAAAAAAAAAAGGGGGGGGGGGGGGGGAGGCATTTACATTTCTTTCTATTTTCTTCACTTTTGGAAAAAAATAAAAATACGTCTGCTTAAGGGTAGTATGTCTCCTCTGTTTAAAATCATTTCCAACCACTTCCTCTCTAATTTAGATGGCCAAATAAGGGAAAAAATACCTAGGTTATTATTTCTACCCATTTCCCTTCACTTCCCTCAATCCAAATACATATTCCATGTGAATCGAATATATTACTTCATTGAAGACTGTTGACCCTGTAAACACTTTATTTTTTACCGAGGTTCGACTAGATTTTGATCGAAAGTCAACCTTGTTAAGATTATGATCAAAGGGTAC